TATATTACAGATGCGTAAATTAAGGTGGTAAGAACAAAGGAGTTGTAAATCAACATTAAAGCTTTCCTAGAACATACTCTACTGAGTAACTTGATAGAACCTATTATTTTCGAGCATTTTACTATAACTTCATCAATGTGTTTAGTCCAATCCAAGCCACTCGTCAAAAGAAGACCAAGATGTCGATGAGAACTCACGATTTCTAATCTATGGCCACCGATATACAATGATGATAAGACAGGTAGTGTACGGTGTTGAAATTCTTTTTCCTGAAAGTGGTTATGTGACACATCACTAGAGGCAGAATTTAACGCTAATAACAAATATGAGGTCAAAATCCGAGAAAACCTTGTCCTTGACCGACCATCTATCGAAACGTGGCCAAAATGACTCATCTTCGTTTATCCTAGATTAGATGCTCAGGCAAGCGACAACAGATCTCGAAATATACAAGACCTTACTGACCGCAGTTTCAGCTTTCAGAATCTGTGTCGATAAGTTTGGAAAAAACGATTCTTCCGGTCGAAAAGGTAAGAAAACTCAAAAAAATAGCCACAAAAACGGCTTTTTTCAAAAGCTGTTTTCTCACTGTCCTACTGAGGATTGCGTGTGACACGACCAAACCTACATGAACGTATTCAGTTTTTGACGGGGAATCGAATGAGCATAGTTTGAGAGTCGAAAAAAATGTGCTTTTTTTGAAAAACTTATTTTTTTCTAAACACCTGTAGGAAAAGGTATAAAGATATAAGATATTTTGAACCTAAAACCGCGTTAAAACGCATTTTCAAAACATATAGGTGACTGACTAGGCGGAGTGAGCATTATCAATAGAGAGTTACAGTAAAAAACTGAAGTGAAAATATTCAGTCAAAGCCACCTTAATTAAAGTCAAAACAAAAACAATGAGTCATTTTGTTGGCGTTCGAATAAAATGCTTATAACTAGTAAAGATAGAGGAATTTGGAAAATCTAATCGGTTTAAGTGACGATAATGATCGGTGATGGTCAATCGTCATCGATGCATGCCTATGCCTAATTCTGTTGCTACGTTTCGTACTCAAACCCACCCTGAGAAAAGTTTTTTGAACCTGAGCACTATTAGACTCGACGTAGTTGAAGTTAAGCCGTCACGCAAAATTTTTTTCAGTAAACTTTTGGAATAATTGTTGCTTACGGCACACAAAGTACTATATTTTATTGATCTGGAACAAAGCTGTGGCGGTTATGAGCTGGCGTAAAACTCTTGATGTTTCAACAGGCTGACGATGTTCACGTCGAAAATCAGCTAATGGCTTGTCATAAAATTTAAAACTCGTGGCTATCAAAACTTTCAAATACAGGGTTTTGCATAATTTTAGCAGCTGAGTACTGTTTTTTAATTTATTAAAGATGAAATAACAGAAACGCTTCGAATCTACTGATTCATCATCAGTAGAAAATTAAAATAATCAAACTACAAATCAATGTGAAAACGAAACTATGAACTTCTGTTTTGTTGACAGCTTGTATGTCCGTTTCTACTGTTTGTCTTTCTGTTCTTTGTAAATCCACAAAAATGATGGAAAGAGGGACAAGAAAAATTAGTCCTTAGAGTATTCTCCAAGACGCCAAATACCATCAAACATTTTTTTCCGAATAAAAGCCGATTGAGTACAGTACAATTATTTGGCATTGTATATATAATTAATTGTGACGATTGCTCAAGTGAATATATCGGAAAAGCACTAGACGTACGAGTCATAGAGCTGCTGAACATGAAAAAGATGTAGATAAGGTGAGCATTCAAGAAACAAACGCTCTACGTGATACCTCATCAGAGAAGAAAAAAGGCAACATTTTAAATGTTGCCAAATTTTCTTTTAAACATCAGCACGATGATTTACCTCAAGTGGACATTTTTGCTTTCGCAGCAAAACTAACCCTGTCAGTGTCCATGAATTCCCGTTAAAGGATCGCTAGCCTAAGTTAGAAATTATATGGGATATGAAGTATAATTGTGCTTGATAAATATGGTCTATAAAAAATTTAATTCTGTTTTGTGAGTTCTAGAAATTTTTCCAAAACGAAATCACTTTTACCCGGTTTCTATCTTCATAAAGACTAAATATTTTTTGCATCTATTCTATACTAGTATTATAGCAGTAAGAAGCGAAAAATTGACCACAGGTAGAGCTGCCGATGTTTCAAAGGAGATGAGTTCTAAAGCTAGAAAGTATACTAGGACGTGCTTAATGGATGATCTCTTATATACATTTCGATTTTATATATTCGACTTGTGTTCATGTCTCATGATTAAACACGAACAACTAAAAGCGCTACTATATAACAATGAAGTTGCAAGTATGAAACTCTTTCGCGGATTCAAAACATCATATGATGAAATTCAGAAATTGAAAGACAATATTGGTTGTTTGATATCAGCAAACGGATTTTTATCATGTACTAAAAACAAGGCCATAGCAGAAATATTTGCTGGAAGTAATGGTTGTAATGTTGGAAGTGAGGATAATCAATCTGTCGTACTTGAAATCGAAACTGACATAAACATACAATCGTTTGTTATGGCAGATATTGCGAATTTCAGCCAATTTCCAGAAGAAGAGGAAATTTTAGCTGATTTAGGTGCAGTATTTCAGATTGATAGTGTCAGCCATGATGATGTTGCTAAACATTGGAACATTAAAGTAAGAGCATCGGATAAAGGAGCGGAAATTACCAAAGAATATATTGAATTTAACAGGAAAACAATGGACAAATCAGATGTTGTTATTATGTTTGGAGATCTGTTAAACGATATGCGTGATTATACCAAATCGCAAAAATACTTTGAAAATTTGCTCAAAACTGGGTCAGATGATAGTTTAAAGTTAGCTGATATTTATCATGGAATAGGTCGTGCACAACGAACGACTAATGAATCTCAACTGGCAATACATCATTTGACACTTGCGTATAATATGTACCTAAATTTAACACCACCGAATGCTATAAGTGCAGCAAAGGCATTAACCTCAGTTGGTCGCGTTTACTTTGATATGGCTCAGTGTGATCCCGCTATTGAATACCTCACAAATGCCCTTAACATATTCGAAAAACATATGATAGTTGATCATATAGCTGCTGCAGATAGCCTTCATGTGTTAGGTAATGTGTACTTCATAACAGATGAGCTTGACAAAGCTCTGGAATGTTTTGAAACAGCTTTAAAAATAAGCGAAAAGATTCTTCCATCTGATCATTCAGATACGGCAGGCATTCTAAATGGTAAAGCCATCGTTTACTATCGAAAAGGAGAGTATGAACGTTCAATGGAATATCAAAGAAAATCTCTAGATATACATGAAAGAATTTTGCCAGCTGATCACCTGTTGATTGCAAATGACTTGAATAATTTAGCAAAACTATATTATAAGAAAGGTGAACATGACAGCTCGCTCGAATATAACAACAAGAGTCTGAAGATTAGAGAGAAAATTTCGGGAAGGGACCATCGATACATTGCAAGAAGCCTTAACCATATTGGTAAAAATTATTATAGATTACATGAATACGATCGTGCAGTCAATTATTATGAAAGAGCTTTAAAAATGTTGCAAAGTATTTTACCACCTGATCATATAGACATTGCGTATACATTGAAGAATTTTGGTGAAATATTTCTGAAAAAGTTCGATTATATTCAAGCTTTAGAATATTTTGAAAAGGCGTATGACATATATAAACAAACATTTAAAAAAGATCATCGTGATATAGCTAAATGTCTAAATTTTATTGGTAAAGTACACTTTAAAAAGGATGAATACGATCGGGCGTTTGAATGTTACACAACAGCCTTCCAAATATGGAAAAATACATCAGGGATCAGTCATCATGATACAACGGGGTCATTAAAGAACCTTGGTAGATATTATTTTAAAAAAAGAAATTATGCCAAAGCTTTGGAATATTTTCAAGAGGTTTTAGAAATTTCTGAAAAAACATTTTCGTTGAACCATCAAGCTGTTGTAAAAATTCGTAATGACATTAATATTACAAAACACTGTATTGAAATTTCTAACCAAGGACAAGTCATTTCTTAAAATTTAGTTATTAATAATAGTTATTATGTATTAGAGTCAGTAAAGTGAGTACACTATAAAATTGGTCTGCGTGTCTTCGGTAAAAAATAAGATACATTAATAAACCTAAAGCGTTCAGGATGTTTCTTCTGCAAAAAAAAGTTTATAAATCGATATCCCGCAATACGAAGGATCTATAAGTTGATTATAAATCCTTGAGTTCTTTATTATACAAACATTTCTTAAACATTCCTTTCTACCTCAAATTTTACTAAACAATGATAGTAAGCACGAAAAACCCTTTTTAATTGTCGTATCAGTTTTCGTATCAAAAAAAGAATCTTTTCTATCATGTGAGTTGATCTTGAAAATTTTCTCGTTTTCTTCTTTCTGTCAGTTTATTTAATCCATTAACTTCCTGTCACGGTAAAAAATCTTTTTTGTCTGTTGTTGTTATAATATCCCCAATAAAATGTGCAACCCCTTTGATTAACTCCACCTACTTAGCGGCTATTGCACGAGAGCCACAAGACACGTTGCATCCGAGATGGCGGTATGAAGATCAAAAATATTTAAGAATAATCTGAAATTTGCAGCTCGAACGATTGTTTTGTAGGAGACATAAAACGTTTTTCTAATAAGTGTCACTCGCCATAGAGAGCTCCTTTTTGCCGTAGACGCGAAACTAAATTTTAATTTTCCCGGCAAATATACGAGATACAGTTGTGATATTTTTTACCACAGTATCCTTATGGGGCTCGAATCAAGGAACTCGACTTTGATGAAAATATTCGCTATGAGGAGGCGAGAGAGTGCTCACAGTCTTGAGAAACTGTAGAAAATCGGAATAGAAGTACCAGCAATACTGATACCTAGGAACATCGCAGCAGTCTATTCAAGTGTATTGTGGAAGAAGAAAGTTTGTCAAGAACGGCTCATTCCTAGTTGGGAGTTGCAAAAGATTGCTAGAAGAATTCTGAGTGAAAGATAAGTTACAAGAATGCAAATTTGATCAACATCATTTAGAATCAGTGATCATAAGATGGTTTTCGTCCTTCTGAAAATGTCCTAAGCTTCTAATAACAATATCATACTGAGAAAGATCCTAACCTAGAAAAACTATTCAATTTGAAGGTACCCGCCTTGTTTTGACCTCTTGGAAACCCGTGAAGTTGATGCCTCATTGGGCTAAAATTTATACCAGAGATAGCAAATCGAAAAATAAAAAAAATCGATGTATTTTCTCATACGTTCTTCTATAGATTCTCTATAAAACTGTAGAATTCCTGTACTCATATTTCGATCCTCAGAAAAAAATGATCCGCCTTATCTCAGATTCTAAATTTTTCTTTTCGCCTGCTTTCCTTCTCAGCAATAGCAACGCAACAAATAAATCGTTTAAACTTTAAAGTCTAAAGCTTGGGTTTGCAGCAAACTTTGGAGGCTTTATCTAATGAGGTCATTAAAAAATGTTTTGATTTTTAACCATGGTACAGGTATTTGGAATAATGTTTCATACCCACCCAGGGGAAAAAAGACGGGCAATTAACTGCTCATTAACTGCCAGTTTACACTCTGCTTAAAAACTGCCAGTTGACAACGTGTTCACTGTCTAAAAACCACCTAAAAACTGTCTAGTTTATTGGCCATTTTCAGGTCTGCAAAAATACCGTCTAATAACTGCCAGTAAACGGAAAAGCCAAAAAACAGCTAGTTAACTGTGTGGTTAACGGCCCATTTACAGACAGTTCACTGGCTGTTTTTTGGTCTTACCGTTTACTGACCGTTTTTACACAGTAGTTTCTTAAGACCTAAAAACGGTTAATAAATCATACAGGCTGGTTTCTAGACAAAAAATTGTGCTCGGTGAAAGCAGGGTGGGCATTTTTAATGCTTTTCATTCGAAAAAGTCAACTTTTTCAAACATACCTTCAACATCTTTTTTAAAATCATACTCGTCTCAGAAAATCTCCAGAAGT